TGACCAGCGTTCATGACCCTCGCAACGTGAGGTATAAGACCTCACGACGTTATCCATGTCTGATGACTAAAAACCCTAATTTTTCGAGTATATAATGGAATGAGAGGGCCATGATCGCCCATCCTCAGCCTCTCTCACTCTCTAGCCCCTGAAAAACCCTAATTTCGACCTCCCTGATTCCTTGAGCCATTGTTGGCGATTTTGAAGAGCTTACTTTGAGTTTTTGGTCGCTTGAAGTAGAAGAAGGATCTTCTGGTGTTTCATCTTGGCAAGCTAGACTCTACCTTTTGGATTTTCTGGGCTTGTGAGCATGTGTAAGTCATAAAGCTCCTATCTTTTTCCTTTAAGCATGTTAGATCTAAGCTTTGGAACCTTTCTTTGCATGGTTGGGTGTTTTAACATGCATGATGTCCATAAAGTTGGCAACTTTATGGATCATTGGGACATCTTCTGTATGAGAGTTCTTGGATCTGAGTTTTGGTGTAGGTTTTGGACTCCAAGCTTGAGTCTTGATCATAATACCCTTCTTTTGACATAGATAGGGTTTAAGTCATGCATTGGACATGCATGACTGAAAAGCTACGATTTTTATGGTACCTAGGGTCGAAAAAGGTATTATGGAAATTCCCAAAGTATGCCTTAGCGGATTAAGAGCTTAATGCTCAAAGTTGGTCTGATCAGATCTCACGTTGTGAGAAATGGATCCTTACGACGTGAGCTACGCGACCGTCCCTATCTGAGAATCCTGTTGGCGAGTGAAGCTGAGTCGACTCACTGAGTAAGTCCGGGTGGACACTGTTCTCACGACGTGAGCTTTAGTGGCCACGACATGAGGTGAGCTAAGGAAGAAAGTTGACCTTTGACCGTAGACATTGGCTTTTAACCTGATTTGAGTTTCGGTCATCTCTTGGTGCTAAAGGATAAATCTAAGGTTTGTCTTATGCGATTATCTAGGTGTGGAGTAGCACCAGTGTAGCTATTAGAGAGAACGACAGTAGTTGACTTCCGATCGAGAGGTGAGTTACCTTCACTGTATCCGTGGTTTGAAGGCACCAAAGCCGACCCACTAGTTAATGTGTATAGTAAGATGATTGTCTTTTTGATAATTGTCTGATATGCTAGTATTCGTTGATGTTTTGTGATTATTTTATGATATTATGTGGTATTAGTAGGGGGTGAAATAGACCCGATATCCGGTTGAAATATACCGAAGAGGATTAAAAGCACCCATATATGCTTAATAGTATCCGATTGAAATAGATAGAAAGGGAGTGCAAGCACCCAGATATGTTTGATAGTATCGGGTTAAAATAGACCGAAGGGGTAGGCGGGCACCCAAATATGCCTGGCAGCTTGTTTGTTTTGTATGTGGCATGTTGGGGGAACTCACTAAGCTTTGTGGTCACAGTTTTTAGTTTTTGTTTCAGGTACTTCCAGTTCGAAGGGGAAGGGCCCGACCTGATTGCACCGCATCACTCTATGTTTTCTGCACTAAGTGATTTTGGGATTTGTACTCTGATGATACGTTACAATATAACTCTTTTGAATATTTGGCATTAGTTTCTTATGAATTGAATGATTTTAATAACAAATTTCTATCTGTATTTTTGGGATGTTACACATGGAGTGAAATTACAACATAGTTTTCAGTTGAACACAACGGGTTTAAAAAGAAACCAGACTTAGAGATCCTTATGGGCAATTACATGAAATTTAAGATAAAATGAAGGAGAAGACTACCTATGGTTGCTAGTCTTAGAAGGAATTTGAATAATCTTCGATTCGAATCTTTAAGCATCAAAGCATCATGAATTTGATTAGGAAAATTGATTTTAAAGGAGAGGGGAGGTTGATTTCACATGAAAGGGGGATTGGGAGAAGAAGTTAAGTCAAATAAACCCACCTTTGGTCACTTAGGCAAGTATAGTCCCTCATGGCAAAAGTCTTTTCATAATTACTCCAAACTAAAGTACATATAATGTCTTCTAAACTCGAAAAACTATCTCGGTGTACTATCGACTTCTTATCGAACCTAGTACCTCGACTCAACACAATATGTCTCTCGGACAAGGACCATAACCGATATCCAATAACACCGCTAACATAGCCGTTTTGTGACCCTTTTTCCTTTGTATATACACCATCTCACCCTTACTTGTAAGCCTTTTTTCGATAAGTGAAAACCACATTACTTTACTTGTAAGCCTTTTTTCGATAAGTGAAAACCACATTACTTGTTCCTTTAGGAACGCTAGCACCTTGAACCAAAACTTGACCCACCATAGATAATTCTTTATTGGAAACATACCAAGAACAAAGAACTAAGACCATCTCCAACTGATGCACCATCTTAAATATGTATGTATGCGATTAAATTTAAAGATATACATAGAACAAGAAAAAATAACTAAGACCATCTCCAACTGATCTCCATTTATTTCCCTAAAAAATGGAGGATAAAATGGAGTAAATAGTGTTTCATCTCCAAACTTATTTTAATTTTTAGCCTATTTTTTATCCAAAAAAAATATTCCTATTATATTATATTTTGCAATTTACATAAATTGTCAAACACATTCCTTTTAGTAATTAGATTTTAACAAATGTATAATCTATTTTTTTTCATTAAAATAATATTAATAAATTTTATTATATTTATAACATACTTATAAATAAATATTATACATGAATTCGATACATAAAAAATAAACTTTATATTTATAAGCTTTTATAAAATACGTTACCGTTTTCCAAAATTATTATATATATTTAAATTTTTATATAAATATGATACATAGAAAACTAAACTTTACATTTATGATTAGTTAATATAACTAGTAGATAAAAATAAATTATAAATGTATAAATATATGAAAAAATGACTAAAACCGACAACTGAAACTTCATTCTCGTTTATAATGAAATAAATAATATTACTTCATATTTTGGGTAATACTATTCATATCTCCATAAATGGAGGGAAAAAAATTAAGATAAGATTCAAGAATAATGAGAGATAAAAATAGAGAAAAAAATAGCTTTTCATAGATTAGAGATGCTCTAAAAACTGGAATTAAAAAACTCTCATGTACGTCTGAAAACAAAACTCAAAGGTGACCATTTAACCTATTTACACTAATGGCCCCTACACTATAGCTTTATTGACACATTAACCCTAACTTAGTTCTAATGCCACATTCTACTACACCCTAAATGATTATGCTATGTTTTCTTATTGTTTCTGTAATTTAACAATCCTCATTCCGGACATTCTAAGTTCATTTAACTTTTTGCAGCATCACACCATGTTTTCTATATTTTTGGCAGCATTGTTTATGATCACTTTAATCATTTGAATTGTATACCTTATGAGAGCATCGATATGTATACATGTTAATAATATTTTTTGAAAAAATAATTATCTTTCTACTTTTTCTTTCTATGTATATTTCTACTCATTTAAAGTTATGACAGATGTCCTAAATAATTATTGGAAAAATAAAACTTGAAACTTGTCATAATTTTAAATGTGTAGAAAAGAAAAATATGAAGATTTTTGATTTTTTATGTTTATTATGTTCATTTATGACATATTAGATATGGGAAAAACTATTGTTCCTTTTTTCGGCAATGAGTAAGAAGCACTTTGTGTTGTGATCCAGACGAAGCTTTCGGTAACAGGGCTATGAGTTGTCAAAACTTTAGGTTGCAGTACAATTAGTGTAAGATATATGCAGTAACATTGATTTATTCTTCAAAAGAGCTTTTATTAAGAGATGAAGAACTCCAATATATATAAAAACATATTTGACATTGTTGCACCACCGATACGAGATACACTAGCATTTTCCCCAACAGAGACGAGCATAGATTCGGATGTTTTAACTGAATGAGGCGTGGGCCGTCCACTTTGATATCATTTAAGATATATGTTTGGAGTTGTTGATTTATTCTTCAAAAGAGTCTTTATAGAGATAGGATATCTTTAACATGTATAGAGACATGGGGGGCTTTGAGGGGAGGCAAAATGGGCAGCTGCACAGGGCCCAATTTTTTTCATCATATATTTTTATTTAAAAATAAAAAATTATAATAAAGATAAGGACCCTTTTTTTCTTGTTCGTCTTGGGCCTTTGAGAATAATTAATTTTTTAGGACCGGCCCTGTATAGAGACATATAAGACCGTGTGATGTGGGATACACCGACAATTACGTTACAAGCATGTATGCATGGTCGATGGCGAATTTAGTTAACATTTGAACATGCTAAATTATATTTTCTTTGTGTATACAAAAAGGAAGATTGGTGTTTAGCTGTTAAATATTTGATTTTATTTTGTTTTTTGATTAACTTAAACGGTTTCCTTCGAACTTGTACTTTGAGATATCATACGCAAAAGAAAAAAAAAAGACCAATGCAATTAGAAAAGACGTGTAAAAGTTCACATGATGTATCAAACATCTTGAGGTCCGTAATCATCGTTTTTTTTTCTTGTTATTCTCAAAGTATCAATGGACCGAACCAAAAGGCGCATTGCAAAAGAATAAATCGTCTTAATCTTTGTAAAGCAATTTCAATTTTAAGCCAATATTAAGACGAATCAAATCAATCTTTTTTCGTGGAATGTTATAGCCATTAAAACAACCAAATCCATATTCTTCTTATTGCTTTCGAACAAGAATACATCTCATTGTCAAAAGTAGATGGTCTTTCTAATAATTACGACATTCAGTTATACCTTTAAAAAAAAATTATATATATTAAAATATGTTGTATATATTCGAGTGTTCGAAATAGAAAATATTTGTAAGATGTACATATCGAGGTTTTTCTATCTATACTTGATTAACACAAAAATCCAATCTGAGAAGTATTAGTTTTGTATGACTGGTTTGCCCTTTTCACGTTCTTGTTCTCGATCGTCCCTTCTAGTCTACATTTGGTACTACTTTATATTCTTATCTAGCTATTCACTCCTAAATTGGTCATGATCCAGGAACATCAAACTCCATTTTCTATCTATTTATATGGCGATAATAAGTAAGATAAACTTCAAAGTTGTTCCAGTTGGTATGAATTAGGGAAAGAGGAAACGACCATGATCATGAGCAAGATTTCGAAGAGAAATATATTATCAGGAAAACAAAAGAAAAAAGACAACGAGAGTAGGAAGAAAAACCGACTATTGATTACTGTTAATGTGCTGGGGAGTCCAGGGCCATTGAGGTTGTTGGTGAACCAAGATGACACAGTTTCAACTGTTATCGACTTATCTCTGAAACTGTATGCTCGTGGTGGACGGCTTCCAGTTCTTGGATCTGATTTCAAGAACTTCTTACTCTATACATCAAACGCACCATCAGATGGTAGCAAACATGCTTTTACATATGTTTTTATTCATACCCATTTGAGATGCTGCTGCCCTTTATTCAATTGTTAACCTACCCATTTCAGATCTTTTGGTTTATGGATTAGTCTGCAAATCTTGATCGATTTTTCTTGGTTATTTCATAACTAAAAGATTTATTGTTTTTCATTGTAGCACTGAGTTCAAATGAAGTAATAGGGTTATCTGGTGAGAGGAACTTTGTCCTGTCCAAGAAGATGACGACTAATCTATCAATAGCCAAAAGTAGGACTGATACGATCGCTCATGTTCAGGCAGAGAGTCGTAGTTGGAAATCGTGGCTCCATAGTCTCAATAAGTCATGCAAGATTATATCACATTGATGTAACTGCTTGAAAGCTATGAAATGTTTTTCATGGTAAATAAAAAACAAAAGCGGAATGAAATGGTACTTTTTTTCATACTGAAATCCTTTTCATTAGACTTTATAAAATATTAAAATTCACATCATGTTATAATATTCACAAATTACAACTCTTCAGAACTAAATTCAAAAATTAAAATATCAATTAAAAATTAAAATTACAAGAATTACAAACTAAGTAAAAAAAACACACTCTTTATGTGGCATTGAATATTTGTTGATATTTTGAACATTTTTTTTTATTCTGACCTAGGTGATGGAAGAGCGGTCCATAGTATAAGACTAATATTTCACAAACCACACCAATAATCCTGTGTATTGTATATATTTATATTAAAATGATACAACTATATCTCCTATAATAAATGGAGAGATAAATACAAGAATACATTTGAATATATAAAAGTAAGTTGTTGGTATCATTATCTAATATCTCCTCTTCAAGCGAAAGGGTGGTGGACCAATACGAAGCATAACGCGAAAAAGTTCAAACTGAGGACGCGGTAGACTTTTGGTGAAGATATCGGCCACCTGAAGCTTGGTAGGAATACACTTACTATATAGTTTCCTAGAAGTGACAAGTTCTCGAACAAAATGGTAGTCAAGTTCAATATGTTTAGCATGTTTGTGAGAACAGGGGTTTGAGTCATGAACAATGCACTTTTATTGTTACATAGCAACGTAGGACGATCAGGTAGTAGTGCATGAAGTTCATGTAAATGATGAGTTATCCAAACAATCTCAGCAGCTGTGTTGGCCATAGCTCGGTATACAGACTCACAACTAGATCTAGAAACTGTGAGTTGCTTTTTTGCACTCCAAGAAACAAGATTGCCACCAAGAAAGATAGAGTAACCATAAGTAGAGCGTCGAGTTTCAAGACAACAGACCCAATCGGCATCGGAGTAACCTAGAATATTATTGGTCTGTGGATGACGAAAAAAGAGACCAAAGGAAACGGTCCCTTTAACGTATCTAAGAATACATTTAATTAATATAAAGGAGCAGTAGTGGGAGCATGCAAGTACTCATGTGTTGCTAGAGGAATAGGCACGAGTTTAGAATCAAGCAAATTGGCTCGTGTGAGCACATCATGAGCATACTTCGACTAGCTTAAGAAAATGCCATCATCAATGTAGCTAACTTCTAGTCCAAGAAAAAAACATAGGTCTCCAAGATCCTTGATTGCAAATTCACGATGCAGACTAGTAGTGAAGTTGGAGATTACATATTCTTGATTACCAGTCAGAATTAAGTCATCCACATACACCAGGAGGGACATAATGCACGAGTAATGAGCAAAGATAAAGAGGGATGGATCAGCACGATGTAACATCCCCAAATCCGGAGTAAAAATTTTATTTAAAACCCTTTAATAATCCATAAACCGTAGAAAAAAATGTTTTCAAGAACATAGTCAAATTATAGTATCCCAAAATCATAAATCAACAAAGTATCCAAGGATGATGTGCACAATCACACATTTGCCTTGCCCCGACGATCATCTAATGTACCCGAAACCATAAAATCAAATTGTACGCCAAAGCTTAGTGAGTTCCCCCAAAATACCACCACCCAACATATAACAACAAGCATATTGGGTCCACAGTCATCGGACCGGAATACCCCAGATCCCACAGCACGAGTCGGGTTTTCCCACCTGGCCCAAAGCTCATTTCTAGATTGCTCCCAATCCTACAAGATAAGTTTGGCTTGCCTATCCGGCCCTCAGCTTATATCTGTCTTGCTCCCGAGTCCACATCATAAGTCTGGCTTTCCTTTCCGACCCACAACTTATGTATGGATTGCACCCAAGTTTGTTGGCTTCCGCACATAGAAGTAATGCCTCAACCTAACCATACTATGTAAACATATGTAACAGATAAACATATAACCAGAAAATACATGTAATCATACATATCTATCAATCTAGCAGAGCACTTCAGCATAGCAACATCCTAGACACAAGGATACATAACATAACATAGTGGGCTGGCATTAGTGTCATCGACCCACGAGTACAGTGAGGAAAACTCACCTGAACAACTCAGCAAAAGCTCAACAGCTACCTCAGCAAAAAAACACAGCCAACCCAAGCTTCCTAAAACCAAGACGAGACCAAACCTTAGCAAAATATTCAACTCTACCCAAGTTTGACCAAAAGTCAAACTAGTCAAAAACTCAACGGACAAAATTCAACTGCCACGTCGTGACCATCAATGAACATGACATGGCCCACAAACGACAAAACAAATGATAAATCCTCAATCTCCACATCGTGGCAACCTATGGCCACGTTGTGGCCTTCAATATGAAAAGCTTTTCTTCCATAAGAGCTTAAACCATAAAGACTAAAACTCACAACATCTGACCTGGTTCCTAATAGCTTCATAATGGTTAAAGTTTACAACTTTATCCATTTTGATGGTCCAAACAAACAAGATCTAGACTTTAATACACCAAAATGACGTAAAGGAGCATGATAACTTGCATGACTAAAAAAGAAGGCAAAGATCATAACTTTCCTAGTCCATGAGGTCCATAAAGCATTCTAAACTAATCGAAAGATGTTGGAGTCCACTCAAATCCAAGATCACCCATAAAATGGACCAAAAGTAACAAAAAAACCCAAATGACAAGATGTAAAGAACTAGATAGCAAGATTGGAACTTTATACTTGCAATGGTCCAGAAATGTAATGCCTTTGATGAATCCAAACTTGAAGCATCATTCCTTGCAAATAAAATAACCTTCTTGATCTTATTTCATCAAAATAACATAAAAAGCATCCAAACGAGGAGAGAGGAGAGAGGAGAAGCTCAAATCTTGAAGGTGGAGGCTAGGGTTTCTCCCAAGAGGTTCTAGAGATGATCGAGGCTAATAAAATGCCCAAAAATGCATAATATTAAGCTTAAATACGTTGAAAACCTTAAAAAAAGATCATGGGATTAGGCTTGACTGATCCCCACACAGTGGGCTTTGATGCCCACGTCGTGGCCATGACATTCACCCGAACCCACCTCAACTTCAAACAACCATAACTTCTTCGTTCCAACTCCGTTTTCGGCTATCTTTATATCCACGAAAAGGTATTGACGAGCCCCATGATATTACTTTTCCAATTTTACCCTTTTGCTTCCGAGCACAAAACGAAGGCTCTAACCACTTATCCAACTTTATCATAATCCAATAAGGTCTAAAGCATATTCCCTTGAATTACAAGGCCTTTACTTGATCCATTTCTTGTCCATAATCCCGAAATAAGAAACTTCTTGAAACAGGGTGTTACAACTCTCCCCCATTTAAACTGGATTTCGTCCTAGAAATCCGTATTTGCTAGGATCTCTAAAAACAACGCCAACATATTCCATAAATTTCTACTAACCACTTTGAAATCAAGTCGTCTTATAAAGAAAACTCGAGAGACCACTCGGTAACCCGTAAATGCCAACAAACAACCCAATAACTTGAAAATACTCAACTGCAACAACTTATTTCTCTCCACAAATGGAAAACCCAACTCCCAGAGGAAAACCACACAACTCGGGGGAAACTTCTAAAACAATGGAACTACAACTAACTCCATCAACAAAATCCCAAAATCGTGACCCATCAGTGTAAGCTTCAAAAACCATACGCTAAGACTGATGATCATCCATCGTCACACCTACACCTAGTCCCTAACTAGGAACACCACCAATCATGCAGAAGGAATACTCAAAACATTCCGATCGTGAATTTCAACTACACCCAAATCCAAAAGTTGTGCCAAAAACCTTAAATACACACTTGATTCCCTGAGAAGTCATCAGCTCAGGTGTACATCCACCTGACAAATCACTCGAGATATCCACAACGAACTTCGTAACTCAAGATTTCAGAACCAATACCTAACACTGGTAACCAAACTCATAATAAACAATCTACAAGAAAATGGGTTCCACCATTGCAAACATTCATCAAGCGACTTCCGATGCACAAATAATACATCAAACAAAACAAACTTTTACTGACTACATGATCCAAACCAGCTGGTCACTGAGTCTCCCGACTCCGTAAAAAACGTACTGACATCCAACCATGCAAATAAGACTAATGATCCGAGACCTATTAATCTCAATCAAATGACTATTAGGTACCTACCATATGAGTCATGCAACCATTGGTTCACAATACATCGTGACAGCATCTACGCACTCAGATGATAAGCTAATGGTATCACACCGATCTTCCTGCTATTCCATCGTTGTCCTGAAGACTCACGACCAACACCATAGGGCCAAAAGATACTTAACCATCAACCCACTGACTCGTAGGAACCCAATCAACCTCCCACTAAACACAACCCGATTGTTACCTTTCTGTAACGCATAATATCTTTCACAACACATGTTTCTACCGACGTAAAACCAAACGAGAACATGGTCGCACACAAACAGAGAATGATATGGGCAGTTGCACTCTAATTCCAATCCAAGAGCTTTAAACAAAATAAGAACCATGCGAATAACCGAGCCAAGTGCTCTCATGCTATCATACTCAGCCTACATACATCCCCACGGGAAACACATAACCAACCCTAGATCCAATGCATTCATTCTTCCCTACAACCTTACCCAGATGGTGTGATACCTTTAGATCTAACCGAAATGAAGAACTTCAACCGCTAACAGAAACATCCTCATGAATGGCCAAAACAAAGATCCCACACCTTAAACGAAACTAAACAGATCTTACCAATACGTAAATCCACTTGATAAAACTTCCAAAATTGTTCAGAAATGTTGTCAAAACCCTGGTCGAGTCAATCCATATACCAACCCTATTGAAGCGACATGTCAAAATTTTATTCTGCGCAAATCCAAAACCACACTTGAAAACTAAACAACACTGCCCCAACATCCGAACTTCCAATAACCAAGAACATTTGCACAACTCGAGCCTGCTATGAATAAACAAACAATTGAGGGTACCCATGCCCCGAAACTAAAATATACCATGTACAAACTTTGATGGTAGGCTGA